ATTATCTGTGACTCTGGCCTGGCCAACAATGCGGCATTCACTCCCGGGACCTCGATGGGCCTGGCTCCCACTCTCAGCACCAACCCTCCCTCCTCTCTCAAACCCACCAAGGGCTAAGTTGGGCCCTGAAGCATGTTGGGAAAGTGGACAATGTCCCACAACGCTTCACCTCCCAACCAGTTCTCCCATAGCCACTACTGTGGACTGCCATCAGGGAGAGGCCTGGCTCCCCCAAAGTCAAAGTCGGTGAGAAAAGAAGGCAGCCTGCCAGGGGACAGGTTTGGCTGGCAGAGCCCTCAGGCCCCAGAGGGGCATGTTTCTGAGGTCTTTGGTTTTCTGGACTCTCCAACTTTTCATCTCTGGGCAGGTAGTGCCAGGGTCTCTGGGTCAGGGTAGTGCCCTTCTCTGGGTCAGCCCTCATATCGTTCTAGCCTCCAGAGTTCTAGGGCATTGAGAGATCCCAACCCAGACCAGGTGTACTTGGGGAGGTCCCTAAAGCTCCCAGACCTGGCAGAGTAGCTGTGAGTATGACAGGGAGGTTGGAAGAAAGAATAGGAAAGAGCTCAGAAGGGAGCTTAGAGGAAGGGCAAGACGAGCCATTCAAGGAAGGAGCAACCAGCGGTCACACTAATGTGACCATGCAGCCATCTTAGGGGGGAACATGGATTTGGAGGGGCGAGCAATAACGAAGAGTAAAATTCTCATGGAGATGGCTTCCCAGGTCAAGGGGAATGGCCCTTGAGAGCAGGTGTGTGTGGGAGGCAGTTAGCAAAGGAAGATTTGGTCAGGGCCACATGGTGAGCTCCTCCATGGCAGGGACTGTGTCTTAGTCCCTCACATTGTACCTGGCACATGCTCGGTACTGCCAAATGAATGGATGGGTACACGAGGCCTATGGTACTTGCATTGGCATTGGAGGTCTGTCAGCTCTTCTTTTCCATGGACGCACACAGGCTCTTCACTCTGTCTCAGGACTTGCTGGAAGGAAACATCTAGGCCATCCATCGCCGGACAGTTCGTGGAGCGCACTTCACCAAGCTGAAACGGTCAAGACCTTGGCGAAACTCAGAGTTACAGTTGGAACAGCGCCACCTTGTGGTGTCTTTCGGGAGAGCTCCTAGAGAGACCCCAGCCAAGAAAGCAGGGTCATCTCTCCTAAAGGGGTGGGGAAGGGGAGGTCACACGAGGTAGTGGCTATCCTTCCTGGTACATATCTGATGCTGAGTTGCTGTGCTAGTGTTCCTGTGGCACAGTTTTATCATCTGTTCCTTCCTCTGCCAGCTAAGAGCCTGCTCCAGGCCCAGCGTGTAGGGGATTCTGAACGAAATCAAAGACACTACCCTTAAGTGGCTCATTGGTCCCCTGGAGAATTCCACAAGGAAACAAGACCAACAAAGGCCATAATCAAGCAGCAGAGAAACCATGTTATAGCCATTGAGGAGGACATTTGCAGCTCAAACATTCTCTGCCCCTCACCTCTCCCTCAGCTCCTTTCACTCAAGATAAAATGCTGTATCCTTGTTCTCCAGAGGCACTTCATAATTTGGGTCCCACAAGTCACTCCAGGGCCCCATTCCTCTGCACCTCTGCATTCCCCAGTGCCTCTGTTCCCCTTGAAAGTTGTCTGCTTTCCCACCTGTCCACCTTTGCCCACACCCTGGAACCCATCTTGACTGTTCCTCCCTCCATGAAGCTCTTTTAATTTTCATCAGCAAAGTTGCCTTGCCTCCTGCAGTACCTTCTTGGCAGGGCTTTCATTAACAGCACATACTGGCTGTCCCGTGGGTGGGTATCTGCGTATGTTACTCCTCCTACTGGGCTTCTAGCTTCCTGAAGACATGGCCTCTGGGTTTTGCTCATCTTAGCATCCCTTGCAGAACTGAGCTAGGCATAACATATGCCCTTGTTAACGGAATAAATGGATGGGTGGGTGAATGGAGAGATGGATAAATCAGTGGATGAATGACAGATGGGTCGGTGATTGAATGAATAAATGAATGGGTGGGATGGATGGATGCATGCATGCATGCGTGCATCGATGGATGAACAAAAGGCTGGATGGATGAAAAGGCTCACAAAAGGCTATGTAGTACCACGGGCTTCCAGGGAGAGACGCCCCCCACCCACCATGCCAGGACGTGCAGAGGAGGGGACAGTATCCAGGCTGAGCTTTCCTTTACTAACATACTCACCTTGAGCAATTTGTCACCCAGAGTTCTGGGTCTATCACCATTCTCCAGAAGTCACAGTCTGGGAGCTGCTCCTTCCTCCTTTCTCCTCAGAACCCTCTGGAATGCCTTCATTAATGCGTTATTTTGTGCTTCCCGCACTGTGATGACTCTCTGGGTTTCTTTTTCTATACCCCTCCTCCTGTCTCACACACACCCTAGATGTTGAGCTCCCTGAAGATAGGAGCCATGTTTGAATCTCCTGTGTGTACCCAGGGCCTGGTGTACATGTTTAATGGGCAAGTGAACAAATGAGTAACTGAGTAAATTCGGACTCATTCCTCACAGACACACTTTGCACACTTCCCGTGTATTCATATTCAGCCATCTCTCCTGGTCCTCTCCTCCTCACACACGTACAAACACTCCTGGCCTCAAATCCCCTAAAGTCCCAAAGTTATTGCCTGACTGTTTTCTTTACTAATTTGTGGTGACCTAGGGAAATCCCAGGGCTCTCCTGACAGTCTGAAAGGGGAGGAGGTGCTTAGCTCCTCGAAAGCCATATTAACTGGGCCCCAATTGGAACCAGATAGGGCTTTCCTGGGAAGAATCTGTCTGTGCGGAGGGTAGAAGGGTCCTGTGGTAACCCGAGGGCAGCTGCCCCAACCTGACCACGCCCTCCCACGGCTGCTGTCCCTACTCCTGACCTGTGACGCTGTCCCAAGGTGGGGGGTGGTTGTGGCCTTGAGGCTGGCTGGCTGGCAGACACAGCCAGATTTAGAAGTCATTTTCGCAGCAGGGAGCCTCCAGCCTGCCACCCACAGGGCCCTGCAGAGCCTGTCTAAGATATGGCTCATCAAGGGCTGGCCCCCAGACCTGCAGTCACTCTCCCCGTCTCCCCAGTTCCTGAGCAGCTGGTGCTGATTCCACTCTTAGGCAAAGATGGAGGAAGTCCTGGGAGGTGGGAGTGGGTTACACTGACACCCTGACTGTCCAAGTGCTCATGGTATGTTATTCACCCATTCAAGTGGCTTGTCTCCACCCCAGGTATTCCCTCTCCTCTGGATCTGGCCTCTGCTCCCTCTCCCTCCTCTTCTCCTACCTCTTCTCCTACTTCTCTCTTCCCTAGCCTCCTGTTCCCATACCCCCAACACTGGGAGCCCTAGAGATAATAATCAGGACCTAACAGTTATATAGGACTGCCTAGATACCAGATGTTGTTCTCAGTGTTTTACACATTGAATCATTTACTCCACCCAACAAGCTTATGAAAGAACACTATTAATAACCCAGTTTTATAACTGAGATCAAGACACAGAGAGGTTGAGTAACTTGGCAAAGTCACACAGCTGGTATGAGGTAGAGGCAAGATTTAAACCCATGACCCAGATCTGGGTTCCTTCTAAACACAAGAACACCCTAGTTCTCTGACAATGGTAGCAGTGTGGGTAAGCTCTTAGAAACTGATATCCTGGGTGTTCAGCCTCAAAGAGGCTCAGGCAGCGTAATGGGGCCTGCCTCCACAGCACCAGCCCCTCCACTCTCGCATGCAGCTCACCTCTTCTGCCAGCAAGCTTCAGAGCCCTGGAGGCCATGGGCTGTAGCACAATCCAGACAGATGCTCACACCACCGCCCCGGCCTTCCTCTGTCTTCCTCTAGCCTGAAGACCCTCCTCTTCTCAGGCCCAGAGGTCCAAGGCACACATTCCTCAGCTGGACCAGGCTCACACCGATCTGGCCTCAGTTTTTGATCACACCTGTATTTCCCACATCTGCCCTGGGTGTACCCGCAGCTCCAGTCAAACTAGACCATTTCCCTCACATCCACGCCTCTTAGTTTTACTGTTGCCTCTGCTTGGAACCCCTCCCCTCAAATTCAGTCTCCCTTGTTTGACTCCTTAAAGTACTTAAGACTCACTGTTCAATGCCACCGTTATATGTGTGTGTTTAACCCATTGTCAGACAGACCTTACTGTGTCTTTTTCCTGGAGCTCAGATCAGCTCCTGCTCCTCTCAGGTGCTCAGTAAATAAAATGCTCGGTGGTTAGAACCTGAGGTGGGTAGAATTGCAGGTGAGGGAGACAGACCTCAGGAACCTTTGATTTCTGCCCAAGGTGACCCCCACTTTCCTCCACCAGGAGCTAACTGGAAACCTGGCAGTGTGGGTGGGTGACTCTGACCCTCTCCCCTCAGGTTTAGAAGCCCGGAGAGGAACTCCCTCCAACCCCCCTACCCCCCTCCCGTGAGCCAAGGCCAGGTCAGGCCAGGCAAGGCAGTGGGCTTCGCATCCAGTCCCAGGGCCTCGCAGGCCACCCAGCCCCCTTCTCGTCCTGCTCGGTCTCTCCGGGGCTGGTGGAGAGTGACCTCGAGATAATTGGAGACCAAAACTATAAGTGGTTTGAGAGCAGGACTGGAGATCTGAACGCTGAGCAGGAGTTGGAGCTGGCGGGACTCGGTGGGGGTGGGAATAGGGGCAGAGCCCGAGCGGCGGAGGGCCCGGCCAGGACACTGAGACTGAGTCTGGGCGAAGCCCCCGCGCCAGCCGAGTTGGCGGCTAAATTTACCCAGGCTGACTCAGCCCTTGCCCGGAATGGGGGGTGGGGGGAGTGCACCGGGGCAGTGGGAAGAGCCAACGGGGGTGGAGTGGGGGGCAAGGAAGGGAGAGTCCGGGCTGGGGGAGACAGGAGTGGGCAGGGAGTTTCCATCTAAGAAAGGAGTCCCCGCCCCCCACGCCCCGCCCGCACAACCACCCACCGAGCAGGAAGGAGCCGAGGAGCCCTGGGGGAGGAACGCTGGTCGGTAAAAGGAAGAAGATGCCCAGGTTGGACAAAGGGAAGCTTAGATTTATTGAGAGCCTACTGTGTGCCAGGCACTGTGCAAGGCGCTTTACATACATCATCACATTAAATCCTCACAACAACCCTGCGAGGTAGGTGTTTATATACCCCCATTTGACAGATGAGGAAACTGAGGCTCAGGGAAGTGAAGTGATTTGGCCAAGTTCACATGGCTAGTAAATAGAGAGGAGGTGTCCGAGATCAGAGAGAAAAAAAGGACGTCAGTGTCCGCGTCCCACGCTGTTTGGCGGGGATAAGTACGAAGAGGGGCTCGGCGCGCTCCAGGTCTAGATGGCCAGAAGCCTGCTCCTGACCTCGCACGCCTGGAGGTGGCAAGGCGGGGGCCTCCCGCGCGGTAACCAGAGCTTAATCGATTAACTGGCAGTACCCGGGTAGGAGCGACTCGCGGACTAGCTACTGGGGAAATCCGCGACCTGCGCGCGCCCCATAGTGGCTACAGCGAGTATCACACCCCACACCTACAGGCTTTTTGGGACCAGCCTCCCTCTTTCTTCCCTGGCCGGTTCCTGGAAGAGGCAGAGATGCAAGAAATTCTCCGAGTTCTTTCAGATGGATGATACCACCTGAGTGGCACCTCATGGCAATGATTCAAATCATCGCTAAGAAACATTGGGGAGGAGCAAAGGGGAAGGTCTGAAGAGGCCTCAAGCTGACTTATTGTCAGCCTTCCCTCTCCTGCTTGGACCACCAAGGACCAGGGACAGTGACCAGGCCGCCATCCTGCCCTGCCTTGGGGAGCCCTCACCTAAACCTGAGAGACTGAGATAGGAGCCCTTGTCCGTTTACTCAGCTCTTCTGTGAACCCTGGACAGTCTCTCGTCTCTTGAATTGAGAATGAGTGTAGGTGACAACAAAGCCACCCAGGGGCCCTCCCACTCTGTTCACCTGCCCCTGACTCTTTCTTGGCTTGTGAAGGAGGGGATGAGAAAAAAGCTTCCGCAAAGGTTTTAAAACGTCAGGGATGGACCTTAGAATTCCCTCCTTTTACATATTAGGAGGATTGCAGAGGGGAAGTGACTTGCCTAAGGTGCCCCAGTGAGCATGGCAGAGTTGGGATTGGACCCCAAGACTCGTGACATCAAAGTGAGCCCTCTCTCTGCTTTGCTGGCTGCTTCTGGGCCCCTTCCTCTTCTGCCAAGGGCTTCTCTGTCACCTGTTCACCTCAGCCCAAAGCCTCTCCGACGCTTTCTCCCTCCTGCCCAGAGGCCCTACCTGAAGTTGCCCTCCCGTGGCTGTACCCCCCCTGCCCTCCTGCCTGCTCTTGGCCAGGCGTCTCTTCCTAACTCTATGCTCCGTGCAGCCAGGCCGGCTGAAGCCCTTACTGGAGTGACCTGAAAGGAGCAGGCATTAAAGTCTGCTGTGCACCCTCACCTTTCCTAATTAAAAAAAGAAAATCATGAATCAGCATATGCTCCCTTTCCTTTCATTTGGGAGATTTCTATTTGGGGTTGGGAACCTGAATAGGAAAGGAGTACAAGGAAGTCTGTGAGGAAGAAAGGGGACCATTGGGCCCCGGGGATGTACGGGTTGGGGAACACAAATACAGCAGAGGGCCTCTCACTGCCGCTCCCTATTTCCCTGTGGGGTCCTCTTAGTGTCCCTCTCCCCAAAGAGGACCTCCTCGGTCCGGTTGATGACACCTAGAATCTCTCGGATACCGTCGCTCAGCTGTGCTGTCTTCCTGCCTTCCCGGGGCCCCGCTCGCTCATTCCGCCAGGAGGCGCCGGAGGCTTCTGCGTCGCTTCCATCGGAAGAGCTGCTGTGAACGCTGAGCTCCGCAGCTTCGTCTGAGTCTGAGTCTGGGGCGGTGTGGCGGCGGATGCGGGACACGGCCTCCCGCAGGGCCCCGGCGTAGGGCCCCGGGGTCCGCGCCCAGCCCCGGCCCGCAGGCCGCAGGACCGCCGCCACTTCCCCCGAGCCCTCGGCACTGGTGGCGCCTCCCGAAGTCGCTGGGCCTGAGGCTGAGTGCCGTGGGCTGCCTGGCTGCGTGGGGGCGTCCTGAAGGTTTACTTCGCCCACCGGGAGCCCCAAGATGCGGGAGGCGCGCTCCTCCAACGAGGAGTCCACAGGCTTCCCGCCCTCAGCTTCAAACCCGAGCCCCCCGTATGGCTGGTGTGAAAGGCGACTGCTCAACAGCAGCTTTTGGCAAGGGGAAGGAGAGGCCGCGGCGCCCTCTCCCTCCTTCCTGTTGGACTTCGGCTGGCTGGAGGCGGGCCCCCCAAGGCGCGGCACCCCGGCGGGCAGAAGCTGCACACGCTGGGTTCGAGGGGTCGGAACGTACTGAGACCGTATTACCACGCACGTGGCGTCAATGACAAAGACGCCTTCTCCAGCAGCCGGGCCGCGGGAGCTCCGCGGCAGGGTGTGGGCGCGGCGGGTCGCCTTCCATCCCTCCGAGGTTTCGTGTCCGGCCTCCTCTGTAAGACCCAGGGAATTTCTCCATCCCGTGCCTCCTGGAGCCCAGGGTCTGGGGAGGGTCTGGCTATGTCGGAGCGGCTGCTTTTTAGGGGAGGGAATCCAGCATCTGGGGAGCCAGCTCTGCTCTCTACCTTCTTTTCCTTGCCCGGAGCCCTTGCGATGGGGCCTGGACCTGGGAGCGGGACGCGGGGGACTCGGAGTCGCATTTGCAGACCCCGTGGGGGCCGTGGGAGCCTGGCCTGGGCTCCCAGCAGCGCCGGCTTGGGGGTGGCCGTCGCTCCCACTGTTCGGGCCAGAAGCAGCCCACCCCGGGCTCTTCGCTGCGGCGGCGTTGCAGGGCTCCAGCCTTGACCTGGCTATTCCACAGCCTGGGGATCCCCCCAAGAGACCCCGCCCCTGCCGGAGACCCCAAGCCCCGAGGACGTCCCGGTAGATCCGAGGATCCAGCCTCTTCTTTGCGCACCCTCCCTCTGTCCTGGCCGGCGTCGGAGCAGGGACCGACGAGACCGGCGCCTGCACGGGCTCGGGGCCTCTCTTAGTCCCCAAAGTCCTGTGGGGGCCTTCATAAGACGGCGGGGCCACATAGGGGGGCGGCCGGTCCCAGCGGCGCCGAGGGGCGGCCCCGGCAGCGCCTCTCAGCAGCAGGTGAGCCTCGTAGCTGGGGGGCCCGGGCCTGCGGCCTCCCCAGGGCCCCGCCCACGCCACCCTGGGGTCGCTCTGCGGCTGCGCGGACAGACGGGGCGGTCGCCCCAACGGCCCCAGGTGCTCAGGCCTCGACGGAGCTGCGAGCCCTGCAAGCTGTGCCACTCTGGGGGCATTCCGGGGCTCCGGGCGGGGCCGACCCGGGGGGCTCCTTCGGGCCCCACCAGCCTTGCGCCTTTTTCTCTCGGTCTCCTTGGCCTCCCGCTCCTGCGATGCCGCTTTCCTTTTCTCTTGCTCCCGGGCTCGGGCCTCGGCTGGGGGCCCCGCCCGCCAGTTAGTCGCCTCCTGCAGCACCCTGGAGGCCCAGGGACGGCGGGGAGGTGGCTCAGGGGATCCCGGGCGCGGCCCACACCTGGGACAATGAGCAGGAACCCTGGTGAGCAGTTTGTGGGGGAAGGGAGCGGAGGCCCGGGGAGCTGGGCGCACTGCAGACCACTTTGGGCAGCCGCGTGAAGATGTGTGTGTCAGCGCGCGCACACGTGCACATATGCTGGGGCTGGAGTCGAAGCGGGATTCCTCGCCATCTCTCCATGCACACCTAAGCAGCGTCTGCCCCATCTCACCCCCTGCCCTGTCTCACAGCTCCTCCTGTTTTCCCGAAACAACGCGGGAAAGGTCAGGCCCTAGCTTTCGGGACCGTGGGGGTGGGGCGCGTGGGAAAGGGAAGGGGGCCAGCGGCGCTGGCTGGTGCCCGGGGGGAAGTCCGCACCCGCCCCTCCAGTCTGTCCCCTCACCCCTCCCTCACTCACGTGCGACTCTGCGGCCCGCGGACCCAGTGGCTGGCCTGGAAGTCCATGGGCTGTCGAGGAGGGGCGCCGCGACTATAATGACAGGAAATAGTCTTCACTTGGATCACCAGCAGCTTGGATTTCTGCACCCAGAGGCAGCTTCCAGACTCCTCATCCCGGAGCTCCCGGGGGCTGTCGGGCCCCTCGGAGAACAGATGGCCATCCAGCATCCTGCCCCACCCCACCCCCGCCCCCCACCCTCCCACCCGCCCCGATAGCCCCCTCCCAGCCCAGGAAACCGGCGCCCACTGCAGAGCGGCGGGCCTGGCGACTGGGGACTATATATACCCGGGCACACGTGTATGCCTGTGTGTGTGTGTGTGTGAGCGCATGTGACAGGCGCGGACGGCTCCGCGCTGCTGCCTCCCCCCGTGCGGGGCCGCCCCCTGGGGCTGGGGATTGGGCGCCCCGTCCCACTGCTCGTGTCCCCCAAGCCTGATGGGACTTGCACGAGTGGGCAGGCAACTTCTTTTTCTTGCCAAGCTGACAATACCCCTCCCCCATTCCCGTTCCTTCAACCTTCCCGCCATTTTAACCCTTCGTTCCCCTCTGTTAGGGTGCTCGACCGCCAGGGTTATGCCCTTGACTTCCTGCCTCCGACTTCAGTTTCTCAGACAGGGAGGTGATGCAAATGGAACTCAAGGTCTCTGCCTGCCACTCTTACTGGTTACCATGGGGGTGCAGGAGGGGCTGGACCATGGATGGGGGCCTATTTTTAGCGGCAGTGGCGTTGGGGTGCAGAGAGGAGATGAGTAACCAGCTTCCATGTGTGGTGGAGGGAGGAGGTGGTGGCTTTCATGAAGCTTTTGTGAGACTCTGGGTGTCGGGAGTCTCCCCAACCTCAGAAAGGGTGACCCCCATACCCTTAACTGCAGCCCAGAGCTTCGGGTACAGCAGGACACAGGAGTCTGTTTCAGTCATGAAAGCTGCCCCCCACTCCCATTCTAGATGTTTGTCCTTGGGCACCCACAGAGCCCTCTCCCCACAGTCCAGAAGCCAGGACTTGGGGGGTCATACCATTCTGTGCCCACACGGACCTGCTTAGCCCCATGGAGGACAGACTAGGTGCTTTCGCATCTGCACCCTTTCAGAAGGGATGAAGGAGGAACAGTGTGCTCCCTTGGCAAAACCAGTCCCCTAGCAACTGAGATGATTGAAGTGGCCCCTGTTTTCTGGCACAGAGCCCCCATCACTGCCACCACAATGCCCAGCTCGCTCAGCCCCCACCTGGAGTGGTGCTCAAGGTGCTCGCCCTTTCGGCTCACTCTGGCCTGGGGAGTTGTTGCCTGCATCCACATGACCCTCCCCCGCCCCTCAAGCCTATACCAGGTGTCCCCTGATTCACCATGGTAATGTTAGTGGCAACACAGCCCACGCGAACCCTCCCATGCAGAGACTTAGCAACCATGCCTGGCAACCATGGCAGCAGCTCCAGTGGAGGGGAGGGGTGTGGGGAGGTGGGGGAAGAAAGTGTGTGAGGCAATGGTTCCTGAAGAAGAAGGGATAATTTGCCTCTTCTGAGTGGAATAGGTATGAATAGAAAGCTATGAGGCTCCCAAATTTTGTTCCTTGTCTTTCCTTCTGTTCCATCCTCAAACCCTGAGACTGGTTGGGTTTTAGTGAGGAGTGGGAGAAGCAGGAAGCCCCAGTGTGTTTTCCACTAACATACCTGCAGCCCTCTGGGTACAGACCCTTGCCCAGGAGGGTCATGGTGGGGCACAGAGCGCAACTGAGCACCAGAGCAACCAAACTCAGGCCTCCTGCCCCCTTCCATGGACTTTTATGTAAGAGAACCCACACATCCCCTATCCCATCCCTGGAGCCCCCTTTACACGTACCAGCTGCACTGAAGGCTCTTTGCTTGAAGGTGCTTCCTTCCACCCAGGTCCCACTAGAATCCTAAGGCTTTTTAAAGTCCTTGCCTCCTCCCTACACAAACCCCACTTCACGAAGTAATGTGACACAAGGAGACATCTGTCCTTTCCTCCATGCACTCACCCCCACGCATATAAACATAGCCTAATTCTAAAAACTTAGCATGCCTCCCTCCTTCAAGTCTGGGAATGTGCTGAGTTGTGAAGAGGTGAACACAGAAGCAGAGGCTCCTTCAAAGCCATGACATAGCACTGAAAACTGCCTCGAGGCGTTCCCCATATTCCACCAGGAAGCCTGGTTTGGAGGAGCGAGTATGGTAGGGCTAGGTTAATCAGGGTTCTTAGGCACAGTGCAGGTGGGGGCAACGTGTTACTCTGAAACTGCTTCTGGTCTTGGTACCCAAGATGGAAATGGTATCAGACCTGCAAGGCAGTGGTGAGCTGGTACCCAGAATTTGACCCATATGGTTTTAGCACAAGGGAAGGTCTGATAGGGTGACCAGTCCTGCTGCTCCCCCTCCACCTACCCACTCGAGTCTAGGTCATTCTCACTTTGGGAGAATCACAAGGGATTTGTCTGTTCAAAGACAGTGCCAATCCAGCAAAATCCAAACACAGAGTCCAACCTTCCGCTGGTGGCAAGTCTACCTAAAGGAGGCACTCAGTCACTACTCTCTGGAGACCTAACACTATTATGGAATTTTCCTGGGGTCCCGGCTATGGTCCAGGCAGAGGGGAAAGTGAGGTAATGAGGACTGCAGGGAATAGGGAGGGGGACAGCTATGGACGGGGACTTAGAAAGGTGGTCTAATACAGTGATAAAGAGCATGTGCTCTGGAGCCAGGCTGGGTTCAAATCCTAGCTCTATTTTTTACTAGCTGTGTGGCCTTAGGCTAGTTACTTAGCCTCTCTGTACCTTAGTTTCTTTTAAACCTATAAAACTGGTATAACATCTACTACTGTTCTGAGGATTAAGTGAATTAATATATGTAAAGCACTGAGAATGGTACTTGACAGAGTTTTCTATAAAGCGTGCGATTATTGTTGTCATTACTGAGCTGAAGCGGCCACCTGAAATAGGAAGGCTGGCGCAGTAGTGTCTGTCAACTATGAAAAGCAAACACTGCAATACCGTGAAGAGGTTCCTGTCCTTTTAATTAGGTTTGCCATGAAAAGCAATAACTTCAGCTAACCACTCTACCATCCTCCCCCACCTAACCCAGCCTCCCCTCACAGGAATACAGCACAGGAACCCAAAGGTCTTCCTCCCCACAGTCCTCCCCATTTCCATTACAGGAAGATATGTCACTGAATATACTCAGCCCCCTCCATACAGCATGGAACAGAATGAATAAAAATATTTTTATGAACAGTTGTGCTATTATCTCAGTGTGAGGGAGTCAAGGAGATAGAGGCAAAGGCTGGGTGAGGCCTGAGATCTCTCAGAGATCAGAATTTGTCCAAGGGTCAGGGAGCCCACAGTTCACCCAGAATGAGGGCTATGTCTAACAGATCAGGGGTTAGGATGGTCTAGGCTGCAAGGTTTCCTCAAGTGTATGTGTGAGGATGGGACAGCTAAAAATCCATTCTTCCTTCCCCCACACCTTCCCCTGCTCCCAGGTAGAAGGTTAGGGGGTCACAATTCTCTCAAGGTTTCGCCTGTGGCTCCCAGAGCTTTGTGCAGGCAGTGAGTGGGCATAACCCCCGGTGCCTCCTGGCTCCTTCCCCTAGCTCAGGGCTTTTCTCCGCCTCTGAGCACCAGGGCCTGCAGGATGTCTGAGAGTGACACGATGCCCTTGACCACATCATTCTCATCCACTACTACAAGTCGGTGAACCTGTGGAGAGTAGCAAGGGAGAAAGGGGTGTTTATCGCTGGCTTCAGGGAGAGCCCTTCAAGCCCTACCCTCCTTGTCAAATCCCCAATCTCAAGGCTGACCCCCCAGCCCCTTTTGAGTCACTGGCCCCTCTACCTCTGCCTCCACCAGCCTGTTGATGATGGTCTCCAACGTTTCATGCAGGTAGCACTTGAGGACGCCCTCAAAATAATGTGACCGATGTTGCAAGGCTTTGGTCACAGACACGTCTAGGTTGTTGTAGGTCTTTTCTGCTGCCAGATTCTGAGGAGAGAGGGGAAGGTGCTTGCAGAGAAGCACGGGAGCCAGCTCCCAAATCCTGCGCCCACCCAGCCCCAGAGTAATTTAGGGGAACTGTCAGTTATAACCACAAACCATGCCCAGTTCATTCAATTCTTTTCAAATAGGACGTGAAAGCTTAGAAGCTTCTTAAAACCCTGAGGTCCCAGAAAAGGCTCTCTTCTTTTCCCCCTCCACATTCAACATGCCACCCCCTTCCCTACCTCCCAGCCCCTCCACAATCACTCACGATAACATCAAACTTGGAGTAGATGTCCACCACGCGCCCTAGGGGGACAGAGGCAGCTCAGCAAGGAGGCTCTAGCATCCAAAACTCCCCCTGCCCACAGAACTACCCTCCTGGCTGAGCTGAGGTGGCAGCTTTTCCCACAGCCAAGCTCCCCTGGGGCCCTCCCTCTCCTGCTGCCCAATCTCTCACCTTTTTCATCCACCACAGGCAGGGCAGAGACTCGGTGCTGTACAAAGATACCCAGAGCCACGTAGACAGGGGTGGTAGTGCGGACCACAGCAATGTTGGCGTAGGTGCCAATCTGCAGCTCTTCCAGAGACTTGGACATGAACTCTGGCTTGGGGAACTCAGTGATCTGAGAAAGGAAGCATCATCTTGATTTTCAAGGCCCCCCATACCACCTTTGGATACCCTTCCAACTGGGTAAAAGAAGTGAAAACTGGGCTGAGGAGCACTTACAAACAATTTGAGGAACTTGAGGATGCGCTTATGGGTGAGGATGTACAAGGTGTTGCCCGATTCTGGGTCAATAACTGGCAGCCTGTGAATCTTGTTTCGAATTAATGAAGAGACAGCATCAAACAAGCTGTGGGAAGGTTGGGGACAATGATAAGTTCCATGGTGCTGGGACTGAGGGTGGTTACATAGCTTCTTAGAGTGTGTTCATAAATGGAAAACTGGTGACTGGGAGAGGGGAGAGGGGCAAGAGTGCTCATGTGTGTGTTTGGGAGGAATGTCTTTGCTCTCTTCTCTCCCTGGATCTTTGGGTGGCTAGCCGTTAGCCATGCTGATGGCAAGGCTCTTTCTCTCCTGAACAAATGGGTAGCTAGCACTCACCTGGCATTAGGGGAAATGCAGACAAGTGGTTTAAAGGAGTCCTGTAGGTACACCTCTGAAAGGAAAAGGAGATTC